TAGAGCTGAGGACACGCAGTAATGGGTGTAGAGAGTGTAGGGCAGAGGACACGCAGTCATAGAGAGCGTAGAGCAGAGGACACGCAGTCATGGGTGTAGACAGTGTAGGGCAGAGGACACGCAGTCATAGAGACCGTAGAGCTGAGGACACGCAGTAATGGGTGTAGAGAGTGTAGGGCAGAGGACACGCAGTCATAGAGAGCGTAGAGCCGAGGACACGCAGTGATGGGTGTAGAGAGTGTAGGGCAGAGGACACGCAGTCATAGAGAGCGTAGAGCAGAGGACACGCAGTCATAGAGAGCATAGAGCCGAGGACACGCAGTGATGGGTGTAGAGAGTGTAGAGCAGAGGACATGTAGGGCAGAGGACACGCAGCCTAGTTCTCTCGTCAACCAACTGAACAAGTCAGTGCGGAGACCGATCCTATTTCATTCACTTAAAAAGAACCGATCTTACACGGGTAACAAGTCTAATTGCAGCCAGTTGTCCCGTTTTTTATGTATATAAATTATTTCTGCTACTTCTGTATTTTACCCACTGCATAGTTCATTGGAGCTTGACAAGAACCTAGTGGTCAGGCATACACACCAATAACCCAAAGGGTCCCATTTCATATGGCGGCTCAAGCGCGAAGTGTTTACATACATCGACTCGCTGCTTAGACTTCCATGCGACTTGCAATGTAAACGGGTTTCCTCGTAACTGTTTCTCATTATGCTCTGCTGCATGCAAATGCCACGTAGCAATTCCTCTAATTTTACAATGTTAAGGTATAGCAAATATTAACTATATGCCATATAAGCTTATTATAATACTGTACATGGCCCTTCATTCCGATTGCACTGACTGCTTAGTTTAGAAACACAATGGTCAGGGGGAAAAAAACACAATTATCTTTCTGGCAAATTATTTTTGTCCATGTTGAGATAAAACATACGCCCCTTAATATTTACAGTCATTAATGAGTAGAAACCATGTACCAAGATAAACTGCTTTAAAATGTTCCCAAACATAATTGTATGAATATATCAGCTCTTTTGTGACTGAGTGCAAAAGGTACGCCGGGAAAAGACACATTCTGTTACACTTTCAGAAATTGCTTACTGACTGGTTTGGCTAGCCAGCTGAATAACAGAACACCCTGTGCTGCTGAGCAATTGGGCTGAAATGAGGGCTGACACAGGCAATGTGGGAGGGGGGGGGGAAGAAAATGTAGACGTCCGAGCACAAACTTAGCTATTCGACCCGCACCATTGATGTTGATGTCCGTTAACTTTAAAGCGAAGCATGAACCATATAGGCATGGTCAGCCAATGAATGCATCACTGGGGGGGGGGGGGGGGGGGGTTAGAGCCAATATAACATTAACGGTTAAGTGGTCAAGGGGACGGTCGTGTTAAGCTTGTGATCTCGTGGCATATATAATATTCACCCAGTCATCTTCAATTACAGCTTTAATGATACAGGGTGATGTGAGCCAATGCTAGGAAGCCAAGGACCAGGAACATGGTACACTGTGGATGGGAATCACAGCATTACTGTACCAGTACACGTATTAGTATAGAGAATATAATATATGATTTTAACTGTGTAGCTCTGTCACTGGAAGGTCCCCAGTTCAAATCTCAAGATCGGTAGAGTGACTTCATTGTCCACAGTTCCCAGTGCTCCATGGACTGAACCCCACTTCCTCAAAAAACAAAAAAAAACATTGCTTTGGATAAAAGTGTCAGCTATATAAATAATCAGAATGCAAGGTTATATTTCCACTTGCATTATAAATAAATGCATAAATCAGAATGCAAGGTTTCTAGGTAGAACAAGCCGATGAAAAAGAATAATGAATCCTTAGCTGATTTAATAAAAAGAAAAAGCAATAGCCATGTGGTCCGGAGTCACAGTGTTTATATATATATTAAAAAAAACATATACTTAATTACCAAGACCTGGAGCTCTGTAATTATAGTATTGGAGATACAATTGTGGATAATAAGAGAACTTTGGATTTCAGGATGAGTGACTTCATTTCACCGCTGTAAAAAACATACCGATTTGAACCTTTGAGGGTATAATTACTTGTCACTGGATGTTCTCTCAGAGGTCTGCCAGTCATACCCTAACTGTAAGTAAATGTGCCTTTTACTCTAATATAAGGTACAGAAATTGAGTCTGAGGAACATTTTTGTACCATTGGGGGTACATTAATGTTGTTTGTACCTTGGGGAACAAAACTGTTCCTGACAATGCAGTTACTGAATATAAGTGTTCACCTAC